CACGAAGACAGAACGGGCAGCTTCGCGACCAAAACTGGTGACTGCGCTCGACGATTTGTCTCTTGAGAGGCCCAGGGATTCCGATCGGAGATCTTGTACATGCTGGACGGCCGCCTCGTGCGATGGCTCAGATGCCGACGAGCCTGTCGGTCGAATATCTGCTGCCTCGGTACCCTGCGCCGCTTCGCGACCCGGTGAAGCTCGTAGAAAATTAGCAAAGAGGTTCGAGACGGAGGCTGCCTCGCCACGGTCTGCGGCTTTTCTGATACCCTGTTGTCCTATGACGGATCGAGCTGCTTCACGTCTTGGAATGCCCGCAGCGTCTTGTCGGGGTGCCTTCGCAATTCCGGAAGCCGCCATCTTGTGGCTCGCTTTTGCAGCCGACCCAAGGTAATGGGATCTTGGCCTGATCTTGTTCCCCGTAGTATGAGGGGCAACCGGGCCCCTGTCTCCCTGCTCGTTCTCGGCATCCAGACCCATTTCCTCATCGACATCGCCATCCGCAAGACCCATTTCCTCATCGACATTGTGCTTCGCGCGCGTATTTTGCGAGTTATGCTTCAGAACAACAGTATGCTTTCCAAAGAACGCCGTCGTCATATCGAGCAAGACAAATTCGGGGTTGGGCTGTCGACGCCGCGTGGCAGCTAGCGTGGGAAGGAACCCATTTGCTCGTAAATACCAGAATGTCCGTGTGAAAGGCCTGCCGCCTCTCCAGTCCGGTATTTCCTGCCACGGGGATGAGGGCTGGGGGCCGGCGTGCGAGGGCTGGGACAGGGCAGCCTGGATTTTGGACGTTCGAAACCCGAGTTTAAAGGCCAGTTGCAGAACGTATGCGACGCACTGCGTATTCACCTCGGCCTTGAAACTGTCTTGTGGCCGGTCTTCACGGAGCGGGAGGTCATCCTGGAGCCACGGGAAGAGCCGCAAGCAAGCCAAACAGAGCTGCGTGAATGCGAGGGACGGCGATGCTGGCCCCTCAATCTCGGCCATCTTGCCATCATTGGCCTCCACCTGCACAACCTCCGGGGCTGTCCAACTGCCGGAGAGGCCTTCGAAGATGGTTGGACTCCTCTTTCTGCTGCTCTTGCATAGTGGCAGCTCGTTAACGACATGTCGAATCAGGATCTTGGCTGCCAAGCCAACGTAATGCATGTTCTCCTGAAATGTCTCGAAACTCGGGATAACCATGTCGAGGGAAAGAACGTTTCGCCGCAGCATATCTCTGTCGCTGGAATCGGTCACACGAGGAAATAGCGTGCCGTTGTCGAACAGGCGCTTGATCGTATCTGCGTCTCCCGAACAGACCGTAGGAATTCGGAACTGAACGATACGTATGCTGTCAATGTCGAGAGACTGCATGATCGTCTTCTTGCCCTGGCATATCTCCTCCTTCCAAACCACGGAAATGTGGTTATGGTAGTTGATGATTTGCTCATCGATGTGCAAAGCAAGCCATTTATGGATGTTGCCGAGGCGCAATTGCTCCATCATTGCTGGGATATCGAATAAGCTGTTCAGGGCTTCGACCATGGGCAGGTTCTTAGGCCTCAGGAGCATCTTCATGTTGCGCTCTTTAGGCCCCGTGAGGGAGCCCATGCAGAGTGCGTATGTGACCTCATCGCGGCGGTAGCTCTCCACAATCTTCTGGTACAGCTCTCCATCCGATTGTTGTGGCTCATGGGAGAACGCGGAAATGAGTTCGAGCAATGGATCGAGCACTGAATCGTCAGCCTTCAGCCAATTTTGGGAGAGGGAGCTTGTAGCTTACGATCCGTAGAGAACAGATGAACGATCAGTGAAGTCTCCTTGTTGCCCTTGGCCGCCGCAACAAGGTAGTCGCCGTAGAGGCACGACAATCTGACTCCGGTAAGAAGAGGCAAGTCCTT